CAGCGATCCGTCTGACGAGGCCATTCGCAGGCCCTGTCGTGAGCACTGCTGGTCACGAGTATCAGTAACGGCTGCTCTCGCAGCGCTGTTATTTGCCTTTCCGAGTGCTGGGCTGTTTGAATCATCTATTGATTTTCATAGTAAATCTCAGGCATTTCTGTCAAAGGTTACAGTTTACCACTAGCATCTAATTCTCAGCCCAGCCTTCACCCTTTCCCCCGTTCCTGCACAAGCCAGTCGCGGTGCCGTTCGGCAGCCAGGCTGTGCCAGAGCCGCCGGCGGGGCAGATTGTGCCGTGACTGATGTGAGATCCCCACGTGCCCGGTGGCAGAACAGCCCAGGGTGCAGCAGGACAGGGACAAACCCCCTCCCCAGCCCCTCTCCCCACTGCCCACACGCAGGTGGGCACAGCAAGGGCAATTCCCGGCTGGCCCCGCTCAGACTCGTCCTCTGGTGGCACCGGGGCCGTGCCTGGGGAGGGCGGCAGGAGGGCTGGCTGTGACCCAGGAGGGCGGGTGAGGCGGGTGTCACCCTGGAGCTGGTGGTGCAGGGGCAGATTTACGGGCACATTTCACTCTGAAACCTGCGTTTTCCGCTTGGGCTGCACGAGGCAGATGCAGCACCGGGCATTGCCCTGAGCACAGACCAAGCAGCTGCTTGTCCCTGCACCCCCCCAGACTTGGGGACATGCTGGCACGGGACTGCAACAAGCTCCCGGGAAAGGGGACACCATCTGGGACAAGGCTGCTCCCTGTGCACACCACGGGCTTCCCTGGGGAGGGTGAGCCATGGGGCTGCTGGAGACCCCGGGAGATGTGTCGGTGTGTCCACAGCTATGGGGGGCTGCCAGCCCTGGGCACCCCCTGAGCTCTGGCACGGGGCTGGGGGCTGCTCCAGAGCATCGGCTCTGTAGGGACACAACACAACCATGGAGCCATTTAAGAGGCCTTACTGGAAGTGATCACTGTCCAGCAGGCTCTAATAGGAAAAGTGGGAGTGAATTAATGGAGATGTAATTGAGCCCTATCTGCACCTCTTCCGCTGTCATCCAGCAGCAGCCCCAGGAGCTGGGGGGACCCAGCAGTGAGGGCACCCAGAGCCAGCTGGGGGCAGACGGAGAGGATTAACGGCTGTCTACAGGAAGATGGGCTATTTTCTTGTATGATTTTTCCTTTAAAGGAGAAAAACATTCTCAGCGAGACTCACAAATCCCAGCCTCGCAGTAGAAAAGCCATTTCCAATCCACTCCAAGGAGGCAGAAGGTGCCGGGTTAGATTGATCCCCCTGACAATACTGTATTAGTGGGAAATTAGAGCTGGAGCCTGAGGAAACCGCTGCAATATCAAACAATTACTTTACATTTGTCCTTACAAATGGAGGGAGCAGAAATGTGCTTAAATCAAGTATTAGATTTCCAAAGGGTAAGCAAACGAGGGCTCAGGAAGGGCTGTACTGAAAATGCTTATCACATTAGGAGCTCTTAAAACGCGGCTTAAAAAGCCTCGGAGTAGATAATCTGCATTCCAAAGAGGCAGGGCGAGGGCTTCGACAAGGACCTCGAGTGGCGCTGGTTTGGTGACACCAACACGGAGCAGGGGGACTGCCAGTGGGACCTCAGGCAACCTGGGTCCTCCCCGCCGGGAGTGCCCCCAGCCTGGGGGCGTCGGGCAGAGCTTATTCAGAGCCGCCGGGCAGGGCTGGCTTTGTGCCCTCGCTCTCGGGACAGCCGCTCACATCCACACCGCGAGCCAGCAACCCCTCACCAAGCTCCGGTCCGGCTCTGGCCACCAGCTCCGAGCACAGGGGCTCTCGGTGAGCACCACGGTGCGTCACTCACCTCCTCCCGCCCCCGAGAGCCCCGAAACGCCGGCCGGTCCTGCCAGACGCAGCAGCGCGATGTCAAGCAGCCTGGCTTAGCTGGACTAATCCCCTCGCAGCGGCCAAATCCGCTCGGAGCCGTGAGACACGGCTGAGACAGGGGGGGCCGTGGTGAGGAAGGGAGCAGAGCCGCTGGGTGACAGGGAGGGACGAGCTCACGATCTGGGCATGTAGCATTTGGCAGTGACCAAACCAGAGCGGGGGCTCCGGCACAGCCTCCCTGGCCGGGCAGGGTTTCACAGCGGTGCTCAGCATGCCGG